GAATGTTTTCTTTTTCAGCTTTGTTTTTTCAAATTTGTTTTCACCGTTATTTCTTTGTTAAATATCTTTTCAGTAACGACAAAGGATTCAGCATTGACAACTTTGAAAAAAATGTTCTTCGAAAAGATGTTGAACAAACAATACTTGGTGAATGGCATGTTAAGACGCTGCTTATTGAAGGAAATTATAATGGAAGAATAAATGGATTTAATTTTAAAGATGACATGTTGCATCTTACATCTTGGAAATATGGAAACAGCGCATGTAACCGGGCATAAAGTTTTCAAATCGCTTGAGTGTCATAATGTCGGAACCCAATACTTAAACGATATTGACATCATTGATTGGTATAACAATGCAGTTCGTTTGAATACATCGATTAACAATAATCAACATATCGAAGGTCACGTTGTGTTAAATCAAGCGATTTTTTTATAATGATGTTCAAGTCATTGGCAGTGTCAATGGAATGAAAATAGCACCAAATACTATTCTCACAAAATCAGGAGAAGGTCAAGTCATCAATGGCGATCTCACTATTCAAACAATGACTCCTGAAGGTTTCAGTACACTTTTCATTGATCATCTCTTTATTCACGATTCAATCAACGGAAAAAATATCACAGACATATTTGAAAATACATTAAAATCCAGTGATAGCAGAATAAACTCAAAACATGTTATTTTCGAAAAACCTTTGATAGCAGATGATGTAGAAACAAATGAAAAATTGTATGGTGTACAAGTTTCAGAGTTCCTCAGAGAATCTAATGCTAGTCATCAATTGATCAAGTTCCAAGATAATTTAAGATATTTAACAAAAGTCGGTGATAATCTCATAACGTGCGTTGATGAAGTGGCAATCGAATTGAATCACTTTGAGTATCATCAGTCGATACATGGAGTAAATATTCAGAAGACAGTTCCATTCTCAATCGATTACGATTCAACTGTAGAATATGTCTTAGCTGTTCATGAAAGAAACATCAATGCATCATTAGATGTTGTCAGATTTCATAGATGGTGTCGAGAAAATCATTCTTTTATGTCTGATGATTCGTTGATAGCTTTATCATTTAATATCAAGACACATCAACTCACGAAGATTGACAAAATAATTTTCAAAAGCAAAGACCATTTATTTGTTGAAATTTTCGATACACAAAAGAAAGAATTTCATCAAAGTTTGATGTTGTTTGATTCAAAAAGCTTAACATTCGTAACATTTCTTCAAACTTCAAGCAATTTCTCTTCACAATTCTTTACAATAGATGATGGTGCTAGTTCATGTTATGGTTTAATTTATCCATCCTTTGAGAACATAAATATTATTTGTGAAGATAAGATTCCAATTGTACTAAAGACGGTGCCGATTCGAATGGTCTCATCACAGAATGGTGTTATCATTTTGCTGACTGACGATCATCAGCTTCAGGTTTGGTATCAGCATGAAATTCGTCAAATTTTGAAAGTTATGAAGCCTCAAAGTTTTACTTCAATTCGATTCAAAGGAAAGTTGTATTTGGCAGTAACATCAGATAAAGCCGAACATTCAACACATCACGGTTCAATAGAAATATTTGAAAGCGTTAAAGATGTCAATTTCATTCAAGTTCAATCCTTCGATTTAGAGAGTCCTTTCTCCGTTCATTTTTCAGTGATACCATCTGATGATCTTTTGCTTTATATTCTTACGAAAAATCCTGGAAAATCTTTGAGCGTTTTCAAATATGCCGGAGCAAGTTATTTCGATGAAATAATAGAAAGTTCTACAATAGTAGACAATGGAAGTCACTTAAGTACCATGATAATTGATGGTAAAACAGAAATAATTGCAGTCGTTTCTGAAGATGTTTACATTATTGCAGCTATGCTTAGAGAATATTAGAAGCATGATTGTCATTAATTTGTTTTCCTCTTGTTTAACATAATGTAACATTTTTTATATATTGTTATAATAAAAATATGTTTTTGAAGTTTGTTTAAAATTAATTTCTAAATTATCATAATTGGATCGTTAAGATAAGAGCTGACATGCGGCCGGCATTTGAAAGTTCGTAGACGAACTATAATTTCTCACCTTCAGATGTCACTTTAAGCACTGAGAGGAATGAGAGAGAATGAGTCTACAATTTCGCAGTTTTACGGTATTTCCATACCAACACATGTCTTGTTATGTTGAAATCTCTCATTATTTACTTGAAACTCTTCGTGGAGAGACGTGAAATCGAGATGAGTAAAAAGTTAAATAAGTTTTTTAATGTTGAAATACAAGTGAATTAGAGAAAGTCAAAGTAGGAATGTTTAAATAATAATCGAAATAATGAGAATTTTCAGTGAAAGTAATAAAAAGTGTCTTAAAAAGCAACAGGAAAGTGACGAAATGTGAATTATAGTGAAGGTAAAGTATAAGTTTAAAGTTCGGAATTTTCGCCTCGAAAATAATAATAAAATAAGATGAGTCAAAGACTGGAAGTGAACTTTGTCTCGATACAGCAGACATGATTTTTAAATGAAATATCAAATCAATGTGTATTGAAGAGAATCATCATGAAAATTTCAAGATTAAAAGGAAGAAAAGAAAAGACCAAACCCTAAAAAATTTTCCTCGACTGACTGTAAGAAATGAAAAATATATGGAAAATATCTCGCAGAAATAATGTGAGAAGAATATCTTGATATTATGCTGTGTGTCTACTACTTATTATTATTATTTGAGATATACTCACAGAAATGCTTACAACTTTATACCACACGCACTCGAAATGATGGAAATAATAAATTTCTTTGTGATTATGTTTGCCATGATAATTTCTTACTTCCCTTCAGATGATAATATAATAAAATGATAATAAATCAAAACGAGCATCAGACGCGTGGAAAGTATAATTGTGTAATATTCAACATTATTTGTGTACTGTAAGACTTTTATGTTTACATTATTAAATTTAGGGGGAATAATATTTTATTTGTGGCTTTTAAATTAACTGTTTAAGTGTCATGTGATTCGATAATTTGATTCTGGATGTGAAATTTTTATACAAAGAAAAAAAGAATTATTGTGATGGTTTTGTTGACTTTTTTCAACCTCGAAAAGTGTGATTTTTTTTTTGAATCCATTAGCACCAAAGTGATAATTTCATTTTCACGAATAATTTAATAGAATGTTGCTATTCTGTAAAATAACATGAGATTTCTTGGATAATTTACTTGTACTTGTCAAAATCAAGATAAGCAACAGATTCTTTTGAAGTTCTTTTGAAGAGTAATCCTTAAACTCAAGTTGACGGGCGTGACCTTCATGAAGAGATTTGTTATCAAATATTCTTATTACGTTTTTGAAAATAACTCTGAAGGATACTTCATGAATCTCTAGTGCATTTTAATAAGATTTCTTTCATAGGTGAATTATTGATTTTCCACCGTGAATACGTAATAAGTCGTTATGCAAAAATTCTGATGACTTTCAATCCAATTCATTCATACACAGCTGCGAATTCTCATCTATTTTGATCGTCTCAAAAATTCAATAAATATTAAATAAACTTGTATTTTAATGATTTCCCTCCATTGCAACAACAATCTGAGACCAAAGACCAGTTTACTTTATATTCGTATTCGCATTGAATCAGGTCAGCAAAACTTATATCATCAAACGAATTCTTTTTCTTTTATTTCACGCGGCTTTTTCTAGATAGATACCTATATGAATATCTGTAATTCAGAATGTGAACCCGTTCTCATGTGTTCTTTTATTTTTGGATTTAAAGAAAATCGTGAGGTAGATAAATTACGGCAATTACTACCATAATTTCATTCGCTAATGATTTTTAATCAAGTCTGTTATGTGTATAAAACTGTACTCAACGAATCTATTGGATAATTTTTGTGTTGAATTTAAAATTTAAATCGGACGGTCTGAATCGAGTTATGCAGGAATTTCAATCTCATAAATCCCTCTTTATGGTGAAGTTGATGAGCTTTATTGTAAGCTAATCATTTAAATAGGCTAATTATCTTTTCTGCATTTCTGTTGATGCTTCCTATTCTTATTTTTGATGGTAAACCCGAATTTTTACCCAACTCCACGCATCATTTAACGTCTAAAATTTACAACACGCAAATAATGTCAATACATACATTGATTGCTTTTGGGTATGAAAAGTGCCGAGAAAATAAACGTAATTACGTTCATTAATCAGTCAACCGACAATTCCATTTCCATCTATTTATGGTAGAAGTTTCAACTCGTTTTTGCGTTGATGAAAATGCGAATGGGACTTATGAATATTTTTTTCTCTCTCCAACTTTTAAATCAATAAATGGACGAATTTCAATCGATTTTTTCCCTTCACCTGTCCAAGCCATCAAATTCACTGTAAAAGAATTCCAAATGAAGTGAGAGAAATAAAAAGATTTTCACAAAAAAAATATCAAGCGGAATGTTTTACGGTTGATGCTCTGGCATGAGTATTGCGTGTCAATTTAATTACTATGTAAAGTAAGTATGGGGGAAGAAATGTTTTTTTAACATTGTAATTGTCGAAACTGTTGATCTACATCGTCACAGAATAACAATTAACAATCATTATAATTAAAAAGTTATTCTTAATAAGGCAAAATTGTGTTTATCTTGCTGGTACGCATCAAATTAAAAACCTTTTCCTTCCTTACATTAAACATTTTTAGTCTTAGCTTTTCCATCACCGTTTGTTTTCTCGTGACCTTAAATTTTGAGATGAAAAAAAAATTAATCAAATAAATGACGGTCTTCCTTTTATGGCATTAACAGAATTAACTGGGAAGCGGCAACATGGTTCTCCTCTCCTTGAAGAGAATTGTAAAAATAATCACAACACATCAAATATAAACTTTTTACTATTGCTCGTAACAAAACCACTTGTAATAATGAAATCATCACGTCAACATGAATTTTTAATCAAGCGAAAAAACTCGAATGTAGCTCGTGAAGAACTTGAATTCGAATGTAGAAATGTAATGGAAAAATGTTTTCATTTTGGGATTAATTATACCACGAGAAGTATTAGGAGGAAAAAGTAGAAAAACGTGGAATAAATTTCAATGGAAGAATCTCCCGAACAGTTGCTATTCATGTATAAAGCTGTCAGATAATTTTAAAGAGCTATCTGAAAGCACTTCCTAAAACCTACAATAAATTTTCAATACTTTGTTAGTTCTTTTCAAACATTCCAATACTTATTTTGTCTCTGAAATGTGAAATACTTTTTAAAACATAAACTAAGCGTTCGTTTACTTGTTTCTGTCACCGTTTTCAAGCCTGAAAATATATAAATCAATTAAAACATTTGTGCGACATTTACTGAGTGTGAGTTGCAAAAGGAAATAAAATCGATCACATCGCATTGTTATTCAAGGTTTGGGATGGTTGAAGGGGAAACATAAAATATTATGACTCAGATGCAGACTTAAATTATTTTATTTTAATGAAAAAAAATTCTTTTCTCTTACGTTTCATTTTTCCAGATCTTTCATAAGTAAACTCAAAAACAAAAAAAATTAATGGATCTGAAAAGAGTGTAATAAAATCGAATCATCGAAAGAACCACCAGAATCTCTTATCGATAAGCAGAATGGCAATCAAAGTATTTCCAGTGCTTTGTCGACGACGAGGATGCTTACTCATCACAGCAGGTTCAATAATCGTTCCTTTCACAATCTTCATTCTCATCATCAGTCCCGATCTTAGGATCGAACAGAATTTATCGCAGAAGTTGGCTGAATGTCAAATGCGCCTTCAATATTTAGAGTCAATGTATCGGACGAAACAGGAAGACGTGTCAATATTATCTCAATATTTAGGCTTAACAGCAGCAAATAGCAGCACAAGCGATAATAATAGTGCGCTTAATAACTTTAATAGCGTCCTCGAATCGCTAAGTCCCGAATCGAAAGCAATAATAAGAAATTTAACGATGTCATCGTCACATCACCGCTTCTCGTCATCGAATCTCCGATTGCCATCAACTTATCACTTTTTACCACATCTACTTGATGATCCAGCTTCATTACGGCCGGCATATTTGGTATCGAAAGGTCGCACAGGTGTCTCAATAGTTTTAGGTGAGAAGAATTCCACTCGCTTTAATTATAAACTCTCAACAAACAATTTTTTTGTCTTTCTTTTTCGGCTGTTGTAATTTATTTTTTGTGAACAGGAATCCCAACAGTAAGGCGTGACAAACAAAGCTATTTGTTGAGTACATTAGACAATTTATTAGTGAATATGGACGACGAAGAACAAAACGACACGATGATTGTTGTGTTCATTGGTGAAACTGACTTGGAGTATGTTCGAGACCTTGCGAAGCAAATTCAGTTTCGTTTCGCTGAACATTGCGAAAACGGTTTAATTGAAATCATTTCGCCACCAGCTTCTTATTATCCGAATATGGATAAGCTTAGAATAACACTTAATGATCCCATCGAGCGTGTTAAATGGAGATCAAAGCAAAATTTGGATTTCGCCTTTCTAATGGCATACTCACAAATCAAAGCGACATTCTATGTTCAATTGGAAGACGATATTCTTGCCAAACGTGGATACATTACCATTATGAAACAATTTGCTGTGGCAAAAACAGCAAAGCAGGAACAAGATCCTTGGTTTATCTTGGATTTCTGCCAACTTGGCTTCATTGGTGAGTTGAAAAACATTTTTGTATGCGAATTTTTTCTATTTGAATGCTTTGGAATACGACGTTCAATTTGTACATACGTTGCTTCTTATTTGCTTAAACATTTAAACGAAAAGGTCGACTAAAGTTCAATTATTCGCTATTTACCAGTTCATTGTTAAATGATTTAATCGATGATAAAAATCTACTTCTTTCAATTTTGTTAAGCACTCAATCTCGACTATTTAAAAGTAGATAATCACACAAAAAGTTTCTATCACGCTTAAAACTTACTCACTTAAGATTATCAGATCGTTCATTTAACACAATTGACACGACATCATTACACGCTCAACTTAATGTCGTGGTTATTGTCGAAAAAAAGAAACAAAGAACAAAAACATTTCAAAACTAAACACCGCATCAAAATTACAAATGCAATTTCAACATGCAAAGAAATAATTTTGAAGAGGAAAAAAGATGATAAATTATTCATGACGGCGGTGTGAGAACATTTTTGTTATTCTTCTAATTTTAATTCTTCTTTTAATTTCTTGTCTTTCTAAAGTGAAGAATGAATCTACAAAATTTGGTTGCCATAGTTATTAATCAAATTATAGCGTTACTAAGTAAGAAGAATTAGCGAATAAATTAATGTTGAAGATTCTCACTTCTTCCATCGTAGTGATTTTTAATGAAACTTCTTTCTTTTCTTTTTCTTAGTATTATTATCACAAGCATTTCGATTTCTTGTTATCTCATCCTGTTACATAAGCTTCTGCTATTGATGAAGCGTAAAAACAGGAAGAAGAAATAGAAACTTGTACAAATGAGATTTATTTCCAATTTCTGTCACTTTTCATTCATTGACAGCAAATTTTTCACTTCATACGTATCGTCAATAGCTTTCGATTCTTTCTTTCTCTTCCTTCAATACGTACATGTGTCGATTGTCATAAATAATAATGTTAAGGGATTAAAGTGTGCACCAAAGAAGAATAATAAAAAAAGGTTTTCTATGTTGTGTATAGATTGATAGGGACACGCACGTGAAAAGGGATAAATGTTCGATGAGAGTCAAGGAAAACATATCGCAAAGGTGCGTTTCGATCGGAAAAATATTTTCATCTTTCCCCTTGACAGATACTTCAAATCTTCTTAAGTATAAAGCTTTGAATTAAGATCGAAGAAGCTTCAAATTGAACAAGATAAGGAAATCTAGAAAGAGTATTAAGTTTCTGTAGTAGCTTTGTGTGTGTATGTGTGTGTGTGTGGGTTGTTGGCTTTTTTTATCAATTTAAGCTAAAAAAAACATTTTTCTATCGTTCTTTCTGCTTTCTTCTAATTTTGAACATTTGAAACATCACTCAATGGAATGAAAAGCACGAAAATTGTTGTAAATTGACTAACGTTATTAAGCTTTAAACGGCACTCGCATGAGATTGTACATTGGAGTGTCGTAAATATAAAATGTGAACAGAATCAGAAGAGATTATGGCATAAGACAGTTCCATAAATCACAATCAATTCACGTACGACTTGAACACGTTTTGAAATGAAACAAAATAAAATATTTCGTTTGAGATAATTTTTGGCGTTGGTCCTAATGGCAAGCTGATACCTTTTTCAGTTTACTTAAGACCATCATAACAATCTGCTGTCGGCTTTTACCAAATTTATTTCCTTTTTTTCTCTCACGTGGAAATGTTTTATGGTTGAAAATGATTTTTAGGGAAAAGAAAACAAAATGAAAATTGCATAAATTTCACTTTCATATTGATCATGAGTTTCGTCCCTAAATTTGTAAACTTTTAAATCAACCGTTGTACAACTCGTGACCAAACTGTCAACCACATTGCAATCAAATTAAACATTCCTATCACAAGTATAATGGAAAAGCATTTTTCATTATTCGAGCATGGAAAAACATTTATTTTGTGATATCTGAGCTTTCAAACAATAGACATTTGACCTAGATTAATGCAAATCGTTGCAACTTCCTCTGACAATGAACATTTTTTTTGTCTATTGATGTGGAAATCTGTTTCGATCGCTTTCTGGCAAGTTTCTGAAACTTTTTCTTTCACTTCCTTTTCTATTAACTCAGAATAATAGAAGGAAAAAAATTAGAAAAGTTTGTCTGTTTCTTTCAACTTGATGGTGATGTTATGTGCAATCACTTGCTAGAACTTTTCTTTTTTAAAAGTGGATGGAGTTGTGTTTACAACTTTAACATTACGTGTCAGTCGCCATTTTGAGATAAATCAAAAGAAGAGAAAGAAAAACAAAAGAAAGAGTTTTTCATTTATTGTGAAAAATCGCACCAAAAGAAAAATATTTGCAGCACATGTGATGAAAGATGAAGATTATGAAATAATCTAAGCATAAGCTTGAACATATAACCATGTCGACAGGCCTTTTTTTATCATGCATAAAAGATTTCTGTTATAAAATTTCATTACGTAACATTAATATCAAAGATCATTTTTGTCACAGAAATTCCCAAGCCAACAACAGATTTTTTCGCTAATTACTTTTCTTCTCATTCTCTGGCAGCTTTCTTGTGTAGACAAATTTTTAATTAAAAACAGACATCGACATAATTTTTGTTCTTTCTTTTCGTTCCCTGATCATAAATATTTGTGGTGCCTTTTATTTAGCACGAGCAGATAATTTTAAATGACAAACTTTTCCATTCAAGAGGGAAAACTCATTCATTGAGAATTGTGGGTGGAAAAACTAATAAAATCCTTCATTGTAGGATTATGGAATCAAGAGGAGAAGAATGACAAGGCTTTCGATTCAAGTCTTCATTTACATGCAATTTTTTCAAAGCTTAACATGAAACATCCCTAGAATATTTTAGAAGGTTTAACCCCGTTTCATTCTTCTTTTTATTCTCTACGCCTTTCCACCTTTGAATGAAACAACGTCATCATCATCATTTCCTCAAGATGTCACGAGAAGCATAATGACAAGAGTTTACGGTATTAAGGAAATTTTCCAATTTATTTTTGTGACATCATTTCTGTCTTCCCTTAATTATGTTTCACGTGTTCCATTCATTGATTTATATTCGTTAAACTTCTTGATGTCGAGAATCTCGACTAATAAAATGGATTTCAATTAATTTACTTTTGTTCTTCATTCACAAAGCAAAAAACATTTCTCAGCTTCACTCACTCGAAACAGAATTAAGTGAAAGGAAGAATCGAAGGATTTTATATTCCTAATAAGACGGAGTAAAATATAAAAAAGCCACAACGAGACGATTCATTACACCCTCGCATTTCTTTCTTTTTTGCGTTTTCTTTTACTTTCTATAAAACTATCTAAGTAAGCAAGAGTTTGTTGGGTGTAATTAACTCAACGAGGTGACATCAAAATACAAAAAACCAGAAGGGGACAAAAGAAGGTTTATTGAGGCGATTAAAAATGTTGCGATAACAACCGAAATAATTTTAGAGCATAATGAGTGTAACGCACCATTTATGTTGACGATAAAGTTCCTTTTAGATCAAATTAACAACAAAACAAACAAGAAAGCGTCAAAAGCTTTTCCATTCATTCAAATAAATTAATTATTTACGTTTACACTTTTCGTTTAACTTAATAGGGAAAATGTTTAAGTCAGCTGAGCTTCCATGGCTAATAACGTTCTTCCAGATGTTCTACAATGATAAGCCAGTTGACTGGCTGTTAGAGCATCTCATTTATACAAAGGTCTGCAACTGGGAGAAAGATACGGTGAGTAGGAAGAAGGAAAAAAGAACAAACAGTATATAAAGTGTTCGTTTCATGCCTTGAAGGGATTTTTCGAAGTTAAACAATTTTATGCAAATAAAATTTGATAATCAGAGCATGGATGAAAAACATTCTGAAAGATTTATTATGTAAATAGATAAAAAAGATTTTTTTTTCTTCAATTAACTGTACAGAAACATTGTAAATATGAAAAAGCGAAGCTTTGGGTGCATTATAAGCCTTCACTGTTTCAACACATTGGAATGACGTCATCATTAAAGGGAAAAGTTCAAAAGCTTAAAGACCGACAATTTGGAAAGATTCCAGCTTTTTATCCACATAAAAATAATCCTTTAGCTCAAGTGCGTACACAAATCATGCCTTATAAGATCCACACGCTCAATAAAGCATACAGTGGTGACTCATTCTTCTGGGGACTACTTCCGCAAGCGGGCGATTATTTGGAATTTATATTTAATCAGCCGACAGTTATTAAGAAGTAAGACGCTGCTGCTTTTCGAATTGCCTTTAATAGCGTTAGAAGTAATTAACCATAATGGATGTTTTTCTTCAGATATCTTTTTCGCAGTGGAAACCACGAACATCCATCAGACAAATTTTACAATACAACAGTGGAAGTGTTGCCAGATCAATTAAGTGAAGAGTCGATTGTTTGGCAACAATATAACACAACAACTGATGGTTATTTAATCGTCGGAAGCTTTAATAGCTTTGGCGTCGCTGAAGGAACGTTGGAAAATCGAATTGGAAAACTTAGAGAGTTGAGACTGCATGTCCATAGTGAAAGTGAAAATTGGGTGATTTTAAGTGAGGTAAGCTGAGCATTTGATGTTCAAAGAAATACATGATTCGATGATTAATTTATTTTCTTCCTTTTCTTTTAACAATAACAGATTTTCCTTCAAGACGAGAAAAACTCAAGTTGACCATTTAACTAAATAAAAAATGTGTAAAACATCTAATGGAATTGACCTTAAAACTATAGATAATAATAAATAGCTGAAAGTGAACTAAATCCTCCAAAGATTGCCACAAATGTTATCCAATAACTTATATTACTGAATGTAGTCCTTAAAGCATTTTTTTCATTTTTCATTTTTCGAAGAAAATTTTAACTAAAAGAGAATGAAAAATTACATCACAAAGAATTTTTAATCTGACATTGAAGCACGTTTATAACGTTACATATTTTTATTAATTAAAGCTGTGATAAAACATAAGAGACAGATGGAGATGTAATGATTGATGACAGTCATAACGTTGACTTATTAAATTAATAAATATCATGAAAGAGAAATTCTTTCAAATCTCATTTTTTAAGAACGGCAAATGAAGAAGAAAAAATCAATAAAAAAGCAGAAAAGATTGGCATAAAGCATTACGGTTTTAATAAATGTTTACCTTAGTAGATTGATAAAAAAATCTAATAAAATATCATTGCCTATGTCTTTCTAACTTTCATGAAATTTGCTATCAGATGTATGTCAGTCAATGTTCATAGATTAATCACTCAACTGTCAGAAAGGAAATATCTCAAGGTGGATATAATTATTGATTAATTATTTTATTATATTCATTCAGAATTATAAGGGTCTGAGCATGGATAATCTTAGCAGATTACGTCCTTTCATTGAATAGACTTTGCTGTCATAATTTTATTAATTTATTTTTTATTTATCTCATTTAATTTATCTAATGGACATTTTCTTTTGAATAAGGAACGAGTGAACGTTTATAATTTATGTTTACAAACAAGGTGAAAGATTGTTCAATATCACTGAGTTTACAAAAAGCTAATTTGAAGCTTTCCAGATTTCACTCGATGGGATTTTACATTTTATAAGTAGATAACTGACGTTGTAAACGTTCATTTCCTAAGAATGAAGAGAAAGATTAAAATCTCATTTTTTTGTGTAAGCATAAATGGTAAACATTGCTTAAGAAGTCATTTGTTTTACAAAACAACAATTCACGGAAAATTAAAAAACATAAAAGCTTAAGATTTAATTATTCTCATTGTATTTAAAGTAAAAAATGAAAATGTCTCCGTTGTTGTTGTTGTTATTGTGTATAAGTTAAAGAAAAACCTGAAAGAATATTTTTTATGATCATAAAAGAATAGAAAAGCTTGTTGTAGGGTTTTTATTGTAGTTAGTTTTAACCAAGAGATAAACCAAACACAGCTGCATGCACACAAGCGTAGAGCTTGTTACAACGCCAACACAGGCTTTTGAAGTTATTCAGAGAAAAATATTAGAATTAAATGTTTTGTAAACATGATACAAACCCTCGTAAGTGTAAAAGTTTGAAAACCCAAAATATTTCCTTCTCCCGCATATAGTTTGTGCAGAAAACAAAGAAGCAAACAAACATTTTTGAGTTGATGAAGAGAATAAAACAAACATGGAATTTGTAAATTTACAAATGAGAATATTTTTGCTGTTTTCATTTATTGAGAAGAACTTTATTTGATCAGAGTCGTGGAGTTATTAAAGCTTGATAGTCTTGAACACTTGGCGTGGCACCTTCAATGGGAACATCAGAAGGTTTGTCATGTCCAGGTGGTGTGTTTAGATGGAAGTTTTGGATGATTGTAGTGCATAGCAAGAAAAGATTACTTTTTGCCAGCGACTCTCCAATGCATCGATGCTTTCCCAACGCAAATGGATAAAATTTATCTGGAATGCTTAACTTCTCATTTTCATCTAGAAAATTTCCAGGATCAAAGCTCGTGGGATCTTTGAAAATTCTTTCATCATGAAAAATTCCGTAAAACATCGATAGAACCATTGTGTCTTTAGGGATGTGATAGCTACAGAGTTTTGTATCTCTAAGTGCTCGATGTGGTATTCCAAATGTATTTTTCATGAAAAATCGTAATGATTCTAAAACAACAGCTTCACAATACGGCATTCTGAAAAGTTTTTACAATTTCAAACTCCTTATGAAAACTATGAAAAGCTTTTAGTAAAACTTACTTAATTCTATCGTCGAGTGACGGAAGTCGGTTTCTTCCGATGATTCGATCAATTTCTTCTCGACATTTCTGCTGAATCTGTGGATTTCTCACTAAATGTAGAAACATAAAATTCACTGACTTGTTGGTAGTTTCGGAGCCAGCCATGAACATATCCAAGCATAAAGCTAACAATTGCAATTCGCTGAAAGATTCATCAGCAGTTCCATTTTCATCGCCTGAATAAAGAACTTTCAAATAAGCATCAATAAGATTACGTGGTTCATCTGATGGATGGAAATTCCTTTTATGTTTCTCGACTTCTTTCGAAAAGAATTTGTGGATGTTTGTGTGACATGTCAAGAAACTTTTATATCCGGAAGCTTCCGGTGCAATTTTTATGAGAAATGGAAAGTGAGAAAATGTTGCACCCATCATGTCAATGTTGGTAAACAATTCGAATAAGAGATGTTGAAGGAGTTTCATCTCATCATGATCTGAATTATATCTGATTCCAGCCATCATTAACCAAAGCGTGTTTAAAACATAAAGAGAGAAATAGTTCGGCATTGTTACAACTGCACTCTTTCCACCTTTCTTTGTTATTAAATTACGGAAATCGTTAAGACAAAATTCTGCTTCATTCTCGCATATTTCTTGCATTCCTTTACGAGCATATCCGAATTCTTTAAGATGTCTTTGAATGAAGCGACGTTGGGTTTGCCAAAATTCTGTAAACAAAAAAAAGTTTTGACAAAATAATTGAAAGCTTCCCCAAGGGACATATTTACCTCCGTCTGTAAGTAAAACTCCTCGACGTAAATTCCACGTTCTTGTTTCATAAAAAGGCCCGTAAGGTCGGCCATCAATGTCAGGATTTGTGTACATTTCGATAAGAGCTTCCGTAGAGTGGGTAATCACGACTTTATCTTTCCCAATCTTAAAACCAATAACATCCTTCGCATCAGGATAATGTTCGGCTATTCTCTTCACACCTTTCACCAACATTCCTGTCTCGTTTCGTGACTTTTTTATGCTAAGTGCACTTCCAATAATTGGAAGCCATGATGGACCCTTGGGAAAGTTTTTTGGCTTTCGAATATCCAAATATATCAACACGCCCACAACAATTATCACCGCAAAGATAATCATTTTTTCTAGTGGTTAGAGACAAAATACATTAAACTTTATTACTATAATAACGTCGGTAATGATATGTACAAGAAGCATGTGGTGAGTATTAACAAAATCATTTCACTACGTTATGCAATTTTATCAACACAAATGAAGTTTGGAACAAGTTTTACTTGTTCCATTATGTTCATATGTGCTGACGTTCAATGATGTCATTTCGCTCTTATCTAACAACACGAGAATTTTGTCAATTGAATTTTGTCACAATGAAAACTCATTTATGTAGTTAATTCAACCTCGAAAATAAGTTTTTATGATAACACATAAATGTGTTTGCAGTTTCAATAAGATAAATTTATGTAATAAACTTTTATCATTTGCTTTTGTTTTAATTTTCACATGATTTTCTTTTCGTTCATGAATATTCTTTTTTTATATCACTTCGATTATTTATTTGTTTGAGTAATGAATTTTTTATCTCTTTGATTTAGATTCATTTGCTTATTTACTTACTTATCTTGATAAATCTATAAATGGAACTTAAGCGTTATTCAAATGTGAACCACTCAAACGCAAATCTAAAGAAACTTTGAACAGCATGTTGCAATTTTACTTATTTTTTAAAGTATTCCCCACTTTGGAGCTTCAGCTGCATGGAAATGTTAGAAAGCTTGCAGAAGCAATAAAGAGTTTTATGCAATAAAATATATCTCACTTTTCATTTGTTTTTCATTTTCGTTGTTTCAATTCCCTTGTTATTAAATTGAAGTGTTTAAAATTGCAACCAGGGCCCTGCAAGGGGGTTGCTCGACGAAATTCTTTCACCATTTTCATTCTAAACTCTTCCAAATTTTTACTAAAATTTTTAAATGAATTCTTTCTTCACCATGAATCGACTTTTAGTAAAAGCTTAATTAAGTTTTATAATTTTTAAATATAATTGTTTCAATTAAATTTATTCACCTGACCAATGAAAAACAGATTTTTTAAAATCCATTTTAAATGTTAACTAGCAAGTAATTGCCAAAGCCTTTTCAAAATGAATGCATTTAGTTATAAAAGTTTCATGAAATAGATATTTAATGCGTTGAAACAATTCTTCTCGGAATCACATGTAATGAGAATGAACAAATTACGACAATGTCTGATGACGTGTTTAACAACTTGACGTCATATTATTTTTAAGTGACGCCTTAGAAACTGAAATAATAAAAAGCATAGAGAGCTGTCTAGCAACAAGTTGAGTCAAAAAAATCTTGCTCTCGCATTTCTTGATGATAAAATGGATGTTTACAGTTTATAAAACATAAAATCATCGTCCATTGATTTCATTCTTATTTATTCAAAACGTGTTGAAATTGAAAACGGCTACAAATTTTTACTTCTTTAAATTGCAAAGTAGTCCAACGTTCATTCATCTTCCGTGATCACATCCATTCGTCTTTCTTCTCACAAGAGAAATCAAACATTTCCCACGTTGAAGAATGAAAAGAAGAAAGGAAAAATTACTTGAAAAAGAATGTTTTTACAAAAATGGATGATGAAAGAAGCGCTTAGAGCGTGTTGAAGACATTTTCTGTCTCTTCGTGTTTTGCACTTACAATCCACACAAATTAAATATCGATTTTGTCGTGAAAGGAGAAAAGAGAACGAAAAGTTTTTCAATTTATTTTCGTCTTCATGTGGGAAGTTTGGGAAGCTCTTGATTGAAGAATAATATGCTGTTGTTCATCTGGAAAAGCTTGGAATACTCTCAAGCACTTACCAAAGCTTGTCGTCTGAATCTCTTGTTGTTAATCAGAAGTCTTTTAAGTATTACATTAATTAAAATTATTCTTACACGAAATGATGTATGGTGAAAAATATTTCTACTGTTTGGTGGTTGTAACCAGCAGAATGAAACAAACAGAAAACTTTGAAACGATTTTCAGTATTTTCAAGCGGTGTGATGCTTAAATTTATTTCTACATCATCAAACAGAGTCAGCATGTACATAAAGCTTATCTCACATTCGTACATATGAAAATTTCTGACATCATTTTGCTACTTATTGCTACCCATAATGAATGTAAATATTTGATATCATCCCCAATCGATACACAGTTAACTTTATACAAAAAAAGCCTTTCTAGATGGTTCAATGTTCAAACGAAATTTATGTCGGCACATGAAAAAGCAGCAGAGAAAAATTACGAACAAGATTATTGCTTTTAAGTGAACAGAAAAAGGGAATTTTTGCCTTCATGATTAACTGCTTTGATTCCTTTACACTGGTTATGTTTCACATTGAAATTGCTACTATCAGCATGACAATCAAAAGGTCATTTAAGAGATTTATTATGTCAACTATCTGATACATAAATTAAAAAGAGAAACCGAAAATGTGTTTATTTAATGGCTAAGTAAGCTTCATCTTGAATTTTGTGAAAAACGATTGAGAACTATCAACAAATCTCTCTTTGAATGAAATTTTTCTCAATTGCCTTCGACACAACAAGCCAAATTTCTAACTCACTGTTGTCGATGTTGAATAAATACTAGAAAATTGATGAAAAACTTGGACATTAACTTCATTACGAAGTCATCAAACATGAATAATTTAATGTTTAAAAACATTTGATGGGGATTCTCTTGATGGATCTTTTTGTATCAGTTTTTCATTAAAAAAATAACCGGAGGGGTGATTGTTGATATTAAATTTGATCTGAGCCGTTGTTATTATAAAAAAAATTTCCGGTAAACATTTTAGAAAACTTTTCCCAATAGTCCTCCGAGCTAATGAGTTTCTATAAAATTCTGTTAACATCCCCAAGACATCTGAGCCAGAATTATGTTTTAATATTTCAGGAAACATTAAAGAGACATTAAGTGATAAATTTTTTGTGTAGAGCGTGAAGCACATTATGAAAAGCTTTAACTAAGTACATATTTACACCCTACCTGTCTACTAAACAGACGCTGCTGCTTTTATCTGTTCATTCATGGGAATAAAAAGAACAAAAGAAAAAGAAACAAAAATCTGAAATGTATTCAAAGAGAAAAAGTTTGGCTTATCTTATCTATGACCATGTTATTATCAGCATGATATTCGATGATAACGAATATTTTCTCCATGAAATGAGGCAATATTTTTAGTATTTTAGTGTTCATTTAGGTCTCGTCGCGAAACGATTCGCAAAACAGAAAGAAAATGTGTGGAAAATTAGCTTTAACTCTCTCCCTGTTGCTTTTTATCAGCTTCTTTGCATTTTGTGGTAAGAAAAATCGGAAAAATATTCAAATTTATAAAAGAAAATTGGAGGCTTTCGTGCTGAGATGAGCAGCATAAAAGCATGATAAATATTTATTTAAGCATTTGCCAACATCCTTGAAGCCTCGTATATTACTGGCACGAGTAAAAATTACAAACACAAGATTCTTGCCTTATTTAAAGAATTTTACGAGTTTCGGATTTAATGTTACAAATTTTTTCTCCTTCTCGTAGCATGCGATGTCGACATAACTTCACAACCGGAGAAAGTCTCAAGCACAAAGCGCATGAGATTCACAAGACGCAGCACAACACCCACAACATCAGTTGCCACATCAACAATAACTGTTGATGATGAAAAAACTAGCTTGTCTTCCGACGATACTCTAAGTTCCGTTGCGGAAAACTTAATCAAATCAACAGATGAAAGAAATTCGAATGAGACCCTTGAGTCGATTGAATCATCGATTGTGACAGCGTCCCCGCCTGCTCCTTCGATTTATGTAGAGATTTCAACTAAGAAGTCGTTGCGTGTTCGAAACTGTGGAGAGAGAATTGGCGACGACATTCCTTTCATTGCTATTCTTGTTCATACAAATCCTCATGAAGGAAACACAACAAGAAAACGGAGAACTTTAAGTAAAGGGGTTTTAATATCTGAGAGGTTTGTTTTGGCAACCGTGTCTTCAATTTATCATAGCGAGCCATTTTGGATCGTTTCATCAGTTCGTCTTGGTGACTTTGTGACCTGGAACAAGTACGCAAATCGAGATAAAAGTGTTTCAATTGAGATCGATGTCGACGAAATTTTCATGCATAAGAAGAAAGATTTAGGTTTGATAAAGCTTAAAGAAGTAGTGACATTCACTGACATCATTAGACCGGCATGTTTGCCGTTATCAGATAATTACAATTTCAAAGAACTTCATTCACATCTTTGTAAACGTTCACAACATAACAAAGCGCCAGCAGATGTTTCGTTGGAATTTGCGGTAAAAATTAGGAGCATACAAGAAAATGAATGATTTTAAGCTTTTACCATATTTCAGGCACCGCTTTCATCTTTCGACTGCCGACAATTCTTTTCACGTAAACACATAGCGATATCTAAACAAGAATTCTGTGTGTGGGATGAAACTGGTGATGATTGTGCGGGTGACATTGGAAACGCTTTGTTCACAACACACAATGGTCGTCTGTTTCTTGTTGGGCTTCGTTCTTATGCAGAAACTAATGACGTAGATATTAATGATATATTAATCACCATTTTTGAATTGACTAATGAACATTTTATTGTTTCTAGGATTATGTGGATCCTGACGAATATCCTGGGGTTTATGTAAAGGTTGGAGCTTTCCTTGATTGGATTTCCTCGATATATGCATTTGAGGATAAAATAAAGTCTTGAGATGTCTTATTTTATTTGAAAATTTAAATAGAAACGTGACAAAATGGAATAAAAAATAAAACAAGTGAAAGGCGTTATGCTTTATATTGAATTAATATTCATTTATTTATTTATGTACATCTTCATTAAGTCTCATTTGTTACTATGTAGATCCTAATGAATTTTTCGACCACAAGAATCTGCTTCATAGCTTAAAGCATTCTATACAAAGGAGAGAGAAAGACATCATTTTTGTTTATGGAATTAATTAAGTCGACAGCTGTTGAATGCAGGGTTACAACCATTGAAAAATGTTGAACTCATTTAATACTTAAAAACGTCACTTCAGATGAAAAGTTCAAAGGAATTAAAATTTTAAAGCTTGTTTTATGTAATGAGTTGGTAGAAAAAAATGTTTGGCAACTCTTTTTGATAGTCTTCCGTAATGTCTGCTAACCTCGTTTCCTTACTTCCTTCTTGCCATGTTATGTATGAAATTATGCAAATGTGCACATTTAGGTCATGTTTTCTGTTTGTTGCATAAAATTCTTATTTTTAGTTTCATTTCCTTCCATTTTCAAACTTCCGTAGAAAAATCCTTCTCCGTTCTACTTAAAAAATGTGAACGTTTTCTCTTTGTCTTCACCGGAACTGAAAGAAATCTCAATAAATTTATTGCGTAGTCATTTTAGTGATTTCTGTCGAGAAAATTTCTGTATAATTCTTAATTAAATTTCTTCTTCGTTAAAAACTTGGATGATAACCAAGGAAACTGGAGAAAAACAATAAACACTTTTGGATTTCATCGAAAACAAAGCCCAAGCTTTATTTATTTAATTAGACAAAAACGCCTACACCCAAAAGCGAAAAACCAAAATTCAAGTGATTTAAAATTAATAATGAGAATCAAGAGAATGGCATTGAAGATAATTTTTAATTTTAATAGAATTTGTTTCTTCTTTACATCTTGGAAATTGTGGCTAAACTTCAAGCGTATAGACTCAAGAAATATAATTAGCATTTAATTAAATTCTCATTTAGAATCTAAAATTATTCAGTTAACTTTTATAATGATTTCAAGGTCTGAAAGTTAGAATGAAAGAGCGACCTGCTTTAATGCTTTTCTGATGCCGTTAAATGTCTGTTCGTTGAAAGGTGACCGAGGGTATCTTGATTCTTATTGTTCTTTAAACTTCATTTAATAATGAAGGTGTGTAGGTGTCTTCCTTCGTTAGCATCTATGTCCAGTTCAGTTAATTCTCCATGCTCTTTCATAATGAAGCCCAAAAAAAGAATTTGACAATTCTCATTTTTCATTGCTTTCGCATAAATGCTTTCCGAAAAAAAGAAATTAAAATGTCATGATGACTTTTTTGTGTTGATGTTGAAGTTTCTTTTCTAAATATATCTTTAGTCAGGCATTCATATCAGATCCATTTATAAGATTAATGAGCTAAAAAGTATTTCCACTCTCAGTAAAAATCCTTTTAAGGAAAAATGACAAAAATATTCTATTTGTTGTCTTCATATTAAATATTATGTTGTATGATGATGAAAATATTTGTCGAAGGCGCTTGAAAATGTCTTTCATTCTTCATCCGTGAATGATTAATTAGTTTACTTGAAACGTTTAAATATCAAATATGACGACAACGATAAATAAAAATCCAAGTCAATAAAAGATTATCCACGTCAAATTGCATGTTAGGTTACAGGAAATAACTCGAAAATGTTCAACATTCCATGCCGTGTTTCCTTCAATATTTATTAAAAAAATATTACAAACACAGTTCTCTTTCGAGAAATCTTAAGTGGTGAAAGATTTATTACCAACCTTTCCGATAACATGTAACCCTTCACATTTTATGCTTCTTATAGTGAGTTCATGATAAATGTTAGAGGAAAACGGTAAACAAGGAGTCAAGGCTTTAGGCTGTACAACAGAAATCAAATGATGGAAAGTCTAATTTCTTTCAATTTCCAACGATGAATATAAGATGCGATAAGAAAAGAGCAAAATGTCAAGGGGACCCAAATATGTTTCTCATTTTCAGTCATAAGAAATTGAAAAGAAAACTTTTATCAGAAAATTATTTAAGGAGAAATATCTTTGTAAATGAATAAGGTAAATCAATATGTCTAAAAATAAATAAGGAAAAACTTGTTTTTATCAAATATCTAACATATTTGTAGATCTAACTTAAAGATAGCCTTGATTTGGTTCGTAAACATCTTACTTCAATTGCAAAAAGTAAATTAGATTTTAAATCACTATAATATATTGAGAAACTTAATGGAATGAAGACCATGGAAGAATATCAATTTGTAATGAAGAATCGACCAATAATATCGTGAAATAAGATCTGCCAATTGCTTCCAGCTTGCCCTTTCATACTTCCGTTTAACATTCTAAATAAATCTTTTTATTTCCACTCGATTGCCATTGTTTAATCATAAGCGAACATTTTATTAATCTATTCATTTTTATTCTTCCTTCATAAATCACAAGCGAGTGCGTCTTAGCGGAAATAATTCACAGTTATTGGTGTCTGAGTTGTTGAAAGAAATGGCAATGACTCAATCATTTAGTATTTACTCGTGTTCATTGAAGAGATATTCATTTGAGTTAATAATTCTCGTATAAATTCTTTTTGATAGGTTGTGGTTGGAAAGGCATGAAAGTAATAATTTTTTGTGACTAAAAACTATTAAGAAAAAGATTGACGAGCGAGAAAGTTCAAAAGAGAATTATATAATTAATTCCATTCTTTGTCATAAATAAAATTAATGTTTCCATTTGGCTTCTAATTAATAAAGTCTTTTTCAAGTTAAATTAGATTTCATAGCTCGACACTCTCTTCAATCAAATCAACTCATAATTGTTTCATATAAAAAGCGCTACATACCTTAAAAGTTTTATGCTTATTACATTTTTTACACTTGGGAAGTAAGAATCTGTCACTGAATTTATATAAGTGTAAAAAAGAAACTCTTTTAGTATAGGAGGGAAAACCCATCAGATTAAGATAAGAATGCATAATTAATGACACCTTGTCGGGAACTTTTTACAGCATAAGCATATATGGAGTAAAAAATGTCATGAATATTTATCATAATCCAATTTTAGAAGACTTATTTCACCACCAGAGAATAGCTTGAAATTTTGAATAAAATCTCACCACATAAGCTTGTAAAATTCTTACACTTAAAGTCGAATTTCTCATGGGCATATGTTCTTTGGCCTTGCATGTGTAAAGATTATTTGCACTTAAGTTCACGTAACCACGCAAGCTTTCATGGAACATCAAAAGCAACAAATGATGCCTCATTTTGAAGCATAACAATTCATTTCATATCTCAACAGCGATTGTTAAAAGTGATGATTTTGAATGACTGTTGAATTAATTTGAAAGTTTTCTCAACTTTTTTTTTATAAACTTCATGAAATAATTTTTCTGTAATTAATCATAAAATATTTTCGTTTCAAAGTTCTATATACAAATGTCATGAGAATTTTATTTTCTTTAACAAAGTTTCATATTCATGTTAAACAAGAAAATCATAATTGCTGTTTAACAAGATTGAAGCATCAGAATTCATTAAAAGATGAGAATTAGTTTTTGTATAGCATGCAACATGCAAGTTCAACAACCCATGAAACTGTATACAAGTTTGCGGCGAGACAACAGGTATTCAAATATCCAGTTGAAAATAAATCTTTATTAGATCAATTAAATATTAATTCGATAATTATAGCTTCAGAATGTGCTTCAGGTATTAAAACGATATCTGTTTGTTATATCTAACTCTTTAAAAAGAACTAATGAATTGCAATCAACTATTTGTCATTGCAAGTGTCAAGCCTATTTAATGTCGTTTCATTTCCCCTCCAGTATAATGAAATGTAAATTGAGCTCAAATTGAAACTAATTTATTGAATTTATTTTCAACGAAACAAAATTGTTTGCAAAATTTCTTTTCAAATTAGATTCAGATTTCATTCCCACAGATCGAATAAAATATTTTGTGTGAGTATGGGTTGTGTTTACTTGAGTACTTGAAGTTGAAATAAAAGAAATAATGTAATGTCTGTATTTGAATTCTTCCTGAATGCCGTAAGTAAGAACCATATGCTACCGCAACATAACATTCTCAAAATGTAATTAAGTTTCTCAAAAGCTTTCAAATTAAACGCTCAATCACTCTTCTGTATGGATGAGAATACAAAACACAGTGTTTCAGACAGTGAAATAATCTCGTCTTATGGTTCATAAACAGCATTCTTAAATTGCCTCATGATTGGGGTAAGATTGCTGCAAAGGGATTCAAGGGGTGAAAAAGAAATGAATCGACGGAAAAGAGGCCTCAAACGTTTAGAGGGTAAACCGATAGCAATAACAATCATTTTTATTATATCACGACTCCTCTAAATTTTCTTCTTTCATTGATAAATGGATTCTTGAATGAAATAAGCTTTAATAGTAAGCAAACAAGATTTCCCGTTTAGATTATTACGTAAATAGCTTTCATCGAGTTTATTTCAAATCTTAGGCGTGTTCACAATTTCAAGTTATTCACTTTAAAAAACCTTTTGGTTTTTATCGAAAATAAAACAATTTAAATAATTTAACTTACTTGTAAAATGACATCTAAGAGCTTTTATTCCGTTTCAATTCACAGTGTAAATGGATGTTATCAGCAACCCTTAAAAGAACTTCATTTGTGTTACAAATTGTCATCTTTACATGCCAACATGAATAAATAATATTTCATGGTTAATATTCTCGGAAAATCTAATTTGAATGTTTCACTCTTTTGCACATTTTCTTTCTTACTTTTACGCTGCTTCAAGACTACATATTTAAATTCTTAAACCCTCGAGGGTTTATTACCCAGAAAGTTGACTGATGTGTGATTTCAACAAGTGTGAAATCAACTTACTTTATATATGTAATATAGCTTTAAGGAAAACTTTTAGTTACTCAAAATTTTAAAGATCGTAGCAAACTTTCACACTTTTAGTTGTTCTTAAAAGTTGATAATATCAAAGATAAATTCAATTACCGGTTCAATATACCAACTAAGGAAGGATAAATCAACGACATACTCGTCCCAGTTTTGAAGATAAAATTAAAACAAAATAAATCAATAATTTCATTACGAAAGAATTGTCATGTCATACTTGAAAATGAAATGATCAGAATTGATTATCAAGTAGGTACTTTTCAAAACCAACATAATTACAATGCATGATAAAAATCAGAAAAACATTGTTAAATAAATATTTCAATACTTTGCGTGCTGTTCATGTCATAGATAAATGCTCATAATGAATTTTATTATCGTTTTAACCATAAGTAAGAAATTTCTACATCGATAATTCTAGATAACAATTGGACTCAATTTATAGTCATCAATATCTAAACTGTTTTGTTCCTTATTATGTAATAACAAGATATTTTTTTACACGCTATGATTTATCGAGTGCTCGTTGTCTATTTATAGAAAGTTCGTAGAGAAGCAACGAAGAGAGCAGGTAAACTCATGCTGTTCATTCTGTTTTCGTTTGACATTTTTCATAAACACATAAGAAATTATTTTGATTGCTGTTCGCTTTCTTGGAGGTTCACGTGCGCTTTTTCGATATCTAATGTCTTCCATATAGAATTTCTTTCTCTTTTCCTTATGCTCTCTTCGTATAAATTGAAAATAAGCGATATTTAGCGTAGTGTGCAACATCAATAAAGTTTCGATAACTTGTCTACATTCTAACGTTTGAGCGCGCCATCTATGAATGAAACATGAAAGCTATCCAATTTGAAAATTTCTGAAAGAAAGAAAATTTCAAGCAAAAAACCACTTGCACAATCAAAATTCATTGCGAACAGTCATAACCTTTCTTCTGATTGAAATCACAATTTGTAATAATTTATTTTTTTGCTCTTCAAAATCAATAAACTTGCTCTGTCACTTTGATATTTTTTCTATTCACTCAATTGACCTAAAAATGGGATGTCTCGTGGTCGATTAGTTCCATCAAAATAACGGAAGGAAAAATGTCACAACAATCTCTTATGAACAGTTCAAGGCTGTTGGCCACAGCATTAACGATTTGTTATGAAAAACTGGCACGAAAGCTTTTCCCTACAAATCTACTACTTATCAAGAAAAATATTGACAGAAAGGTCTCAAGATCAAATTGTTTGGAAAAGTCATAAACATTCCTGAAAATCGCTTTATAGCGTGTCTTAGTTCTTCAAGTAATTGTATTAATTTTCAAATTATTAAGCTTCTTCACTCGAAGACGAAACTTATTGTTCGGTCATCATTTGAAGTGAAAAGTTGGGAAAGAATTGTGGTCAAAAAATTATTGAAAATTGAAATAAAAAGATATCCTAAAAGTTTAAATCAATTTGGAATGCCTCCACAATTGAACAATAATGTTAAGAAACTTCCACCATTGGAAAGAAATTCAGGTTCATATTTAATTAAAAATCTCAAGTAATTTGTAATTTTCGATGAATTGACATAAAATCAATTTCAATTGAAGGCAGCATAACATCAAGTAATGGATCAACATCACCCAAAAAAATGACAAATGGATGGAATATTGCAAAAGAAAAGCTCACAGGTAAGAAGAATAATTGAATGAATTTCATATATTTATTTTAAGAAAAGACTAAGTCAGCAATCATTTCAAAAAAATATATAAGTTCAAGTTATAGATATGAGTTAAATGCCATTCGAATCATATTATTTTTTTTGTTTTCTTGAAGGCAGAGTTCCTACGTTTGATATTTAATCCACGAATCAATCTGTCTACATGACGTCTTAACTTTTTATTTATAAATATAAAATTTTGAGTTATTTTTATCTTCATGATATCAAATCATTGTAATCAATGAATCAATAGAAACTCTCGTAAAAGCATTTCTATAAAAGAACTGATGATGGAAATCAAGATCAAAACAAACTTCTCAAACAACGATATAAAATCATCAAATGACAAACAAAAAATAACAATGAAAACTAATTTCCTTTCTCTTGACCTGAATGTCATCTAAGTTTTCTTCCATTTAGAAATATTTTCTTTTGTTGTTTACACTACTACGTTTATGAATGTTCTTGAAAGCTTCACGGAAGTTTAACAATAAACACTCCTTAAAACTCCTCGTTACAGTGAATCTACTTAAAAGCATGAACAAAAGACTGAAAAAATATCCTTAAAATAGATTCTATGAGAAGTAAAAATATTTCTGTTCAATTCTCAATTTACTTTATTAAGAGAAAAGAAAAAAAAACGATCATTCCATTTAGAATTTATTGCAACACCATATTTATTGCTCTAATTGATTTCCTCATTTCTCATAATTCACAACACAACTAATAAAAAGCATAGTTTATTTGATTAGGTGTTTTGACTTTGTATACAATTTTTTTTATTTCTTGTCAACTGCTCGAGTGAAGCGCACTTAAATGAGTCACAAATTGTATTCATCTATCGATTCCTTGTTGTTTTGAACTCTTAAACCCTGAAAGAATGACAAAAAGCAAAAGAACATCGACTATTAAGTAAATAATCAACAAAGTTTTTTTTTCTGGAAACTCGTTTGAGTAAAACGTGGGTTGAAAGATGAAGAGATGATAATTTTTCGTGACGATGACTATCAAGGACTTATCCTTGGCCATTAAAACGTCCTTAATTACTGGCAATTATAATATCGGAGTGCAGGCCACAATATTGTTTGTTTGTTATCATCCAAGCTTTTTATTATTGAGTAGTAGCAGTTACGTGAGCGGATTGAAAAAGAGGAAAATTCAAGGGAATTGTTCGATATAAAAAACAAAAAACAAAGATTTTATTTCCTTAATTTCTCGTGTTGATTTGTTTATGTTTATCTTTGTAAACACGTGGACAGAATAACTTGATAGAATTTCGTTAGGATAGGAAATGTTGACCATGACTTATGATTTAATATTTCGTGTGATATCTTTAATAGCTTTAAAGGTGGTAATGAAAAATTTATAACTTTTCATCTCATGAATTTTAAGAGCTGACTGGCAAGTGACATGTGTACGTCAAATTCAATATATTCGTTTTCAAGAAGAAAACATTTACAGGAAGGTCGGATATTAATCATAAATATGAATGTGACTTATGAGACTGTTAACTGCGCCATAAATTTTGCTATGAACTCCAAAATACATCTTAAGCACAAACAAAAATAAATTTTTGATTAACCTGTGTTCGCCTTTCACGTTGATTGATTTTCGTTGACATCGTAGAAAAAGAAAAGAAGTTGAAAATTTACAATGTTAAAAACATAAACAATGATGAAAATTGTCAATGACAAATATTTACTCTTTCAGTTGTTTTTGTCTTGAATCTTCATTATAACAAAATATCAAAATATCCTAAAGCACGATTACAAAAACATTCACAAAGTAAAGCGAATAAATATCTAAGAAGAAATATAAATTTAAGTATAAATCACCCATGGCATTTATTTGAGTTCTATCAATAATTCCTCAGAATAAATAATATGTTGGAGTTTTGTACATCAAGTCATGTAAACAAAATACTCGAGCAGAAAGATTTTCTTTTAAGAAAATCACTCTTGAGCATCTAATTTATTTAATTAATGAAGAAAAATCAAGATCTGAAAATCTTTTATTTGTTATTTTCGTCCTTGTCATTAGAGTAAACGGAATATTCTGAACACAATTAAGATCTTAAGGTTTTAATTATTGAAACAAGTGCAATGAGGGATTAGGTACACTCAAAAAATTGTTAAGTACGAAAGCATTGTTAAACCTTAGCCTTGAGAATTATAGAATGAAGCTTTAGGGAAATCCGCCACAGTAAATTACGTTTGCAAAACACTCTTTATTGAGACTTTTATGTTTGGTTTTCCAATGTTGAAGCTTTATCGTCATTCGCAATTTTTTTTCTCTCTTTCCGTCCCTCTCATTCTTTCATTCAAAATATGTGTGAAGGAAACTTAAAATCATTTTTATTTTCGATAGAAGAGTGGATAAAAGCAAAGGAAAGAAAATAAAAGAAAAAGCCAAAAAGAAAAGCAGTTGCCATGTGACAAAATGTAATTTTCTCAGTTGATTCGCCACAATTCTCAGAGAAAGAGAGAAAATTATATCGATAGGAGATGATGAAAAGGGAATTCTGTTTTCATTTTACAGATAGATAACATCAGTCAGTCGCTTCCACAATTCAGTTCGTATCCGACTTTACACCTGAGTGGTTGATGATTTTGTGGAAGAGAATTCGTGACTTTTGATAGGAGTATGGTTGATTAAAGCATCAATAAGTTAGCAATAGCAGAAGGTTTCTTATCTAAACTTACTTCACGTCATAAAACAAAATAAACTTCAGTCCTCTTTATTAAAAATAAAAGCAATGATGATGAAGCTTTTCAGCACGTAAGACACGGAGAAAATTAGCTGATAGAAACATGAGATCATGTAATAAAAGAACATTACAAAAGATTAGTTACTCAATAGCTCTACAGCGATAACCGCTGAGTGTAATTAAAATTAAGTTCTTATGTACACTTCCGAGTCGTGTGTCTCCATGAACCCCACATCTAATTAAAGAAGGCAAATAAAATTATATAGTGTTGATTGAATCAATAAGTGGCAGATTCATTATAGATACAAAATGATGAAAATAATAAAAGAAAACTCAACTCTGTGTACGTATATGATAAGAGCCGCAATTGAGAAAAATTGACACATCATCAACAGAGAAGTTTATTGATTCGACAAGTGATAAATTGTGCTATCAAGTGTAAGACACTTCACTTCACCGCTTTGTGACACTTTTTCATTTGTGACTTAACTTCAATGGCATAAAAAAATGTCAGTTTAACGTTTGTAAAATGCAAGCTTGTTGCATGACACTCGTAATAATAATAATATGCTAATAAAGTTTCTACCACACAATCACAAAGTGCAAAGACCTAAGCTTAGACATTAATGGAATTTTTACGTTTAATGATGGAACGTGCTGTTGCATTTTGGCGCAATCGACGATTTTTCAAGTTTCGTAAGTTTATTATTTTTAATATTTCATTCTGCCACTACAATTGATTTTGTTGTGCAGTTCGGGGTGAAGAAGTTTGAGATATTTAAGCCTCTAGATAATAAATTGTTTACAAATTTGCGTCAGTGTCACGTCGACAAACAATTCATTTTCGTTTCTCTCTTGGGACAACAAGCTTCTGGAAAATATTAAAATTTGTATTTTATCTTGAAGATAATAAGAAAAGTCTAACTTTCAAGGCAAAAATCAAAAGTTTGTGAAATCGTTTTAAGGAAAATCTTAGTTGAGGAATTTACATTTATTAACTTGAACAATTTAACTTCAAAAGGTATAAAAGCATGAAAATGAAAATGCTTTCAAACAACCTCACCCTTTAGCATTTTCAGCCTTTATCATCACTCACATTGAAACTTTTTTTAAATATATTTGTTCTTGGAAAACATGAAATTAAATTAAGCATTGAAGCTTTCAATCACATCATACCAAATATTTTATTTCAATGTGCCTAGTATCAGTATAAAAGTCCAAATTAATTACACAGCTTCATATTTGATAATTGAATTATCCAGTGAAGCGTCACGATTTAGTAGGTTAATTTTTTAATTATTTTTAACGCGTTTCAACGGCATGAAAAGCTGTTGAAAATGTTTGTTTCACATCCGAAAATTTGAAAAACTTTAAACATAAAGTTTAATCATTAAACTTGATACATTTAGTGAGCTTTGAAATTAATCTGATTAACAAATCTAAACTCACACATGACATTTTCCAAACTTTCAAAGGCATTTTTAAGTTCCATATGGAGAACTTCACTTTCATGTTATCAACCGTGAATGTCTTCAAAATAGAAATATCCATCTACTTTCTTTAAATATTCTTTTCATCAGCTTACTCATGAATAAGTAATAATATTTCCAATGGACCATTTTTTTCCATTAATTTAGATATTTTTGCTATTTTTAGGCTTCATGAAATTTTTCTCGTCTAGATATAAACATTAAAATCATTGAAGCTTATAATAATTTTCCTTTTATTTATTCGTACCAATTGAAGCATCAAAACAAATATTTTTTTATCTTAAAGGCAGCACAAATGACAATCATAATCGAAATTCAACTGATGAAAAAGATCCAAAACCAAAAGGTGATGAAATATTTGTTTTTTATCATTTGAGTTATCATAATTTATTTGCGTTCATCAAACAGAGTTTGCAGAAGAAGAAATTCATGCATATTTGAAAAGTCATCCGGAATATATTGAGAGTTACATTATGGATGAAGTTGAATTGGAACTGCTTGAAAGGTGGATGATTCGTCGTACACAAAAGGCGAAAAAGTTAAACTATGCGAATCGAAAGACAAGTTTATCAAGGTGGAAATTTTGTGTACATGCTGATAAAAGACAGATGTTGGAACAACTGACACAACAGTTACAAATGAAACCAACAAAAACTCACGTTCTTTTTGAATTATCGTCATGTATTTCTAATGCAGTTAACGCTGACGGGTTTCGTTTATATCTTGTTGAAGAAGGCACTGACATTCTCACTGTCGTAATGGATTCTGAAAGTTTTGACGATGAAGGTGATCCGCGAATAATGAAAATTGTTGATGATGCTTCTATTGCATCGTACGTTGCTTCAACACGAGAACCTGTCCGTTTCTCTAGAGGAGATTGTGACTGTCGTTTTCCCAATGGAATCACAGACAAAGACACTCAGCATATTTTATGTCAAGCTGTTGTTTATCCTGACGGGGTTGGTATTTTGCTTGCTTATATCTATCTACCAGTAACAGAAATTCTATCACTTTATTCATCGTGTTCGTGGAAATTCTTGGTTCATTTAATTTTCTTTTACAGAGCTTGGTGGCTGTATTGGAATGTTGGAGACGTCGAAACGGTCCGAAATTTCATGAAGAAGATGAGGAAATTGGATATTCTTACTTGGTATGGGGCGGCATCGCCCTTCATTATATGTCAATTTATATTAATTTAAACAAGCAAAAGAAGCTGAACGACTTTCTTTTGGCGGTTGTCAAGTAAGTTAATTATTTTTATAAATAATCGTACACATACACATTTTCATTCTTTTCTAACAATGCAATGTAGATCAATTTTTCAAGATATGGTATCAATGGATATGCTGGTTATTAAAATAATGAATTATGCCCAACGATTAGTCAATGCCGATCGCGCTTCACTTTTTCTCATCGATTCGAAAACCAACGAGCTTTATGCAACAATATTTGATGTTGGATTTGATGATGAAATTCAAAATAAAATGAATTCACCGAGAGGTGCAAAGGAAACAACAGAAAAGCTTAAAAGTGATGAAATTCGTTTCCCTGTTGGAACGGGAATTGCTGGTCTTTGTGCTTTAAGCGGTGAAATATTTAACATTGTTGATGCTTATAGCGACACAAGATTCAATCGAAACATTGATCAAATCACGGGATACAAAACTGACACGATTCTTTGCATGCCAATATTCATTCGTGGATCTCTCATTGGTGTTGTTGAGATGGTAAATAAACGAGTTGGATTTTTTACCAAGGAAGATGAAGAAGCATTTGAAACATTTGCAATTTATTGTGGACTTGCCTTACATCACGCGAAGCTTTATGATAAGATTCGAAGGTCGGAAAAGAAATATCGAGTGGCTTTAGAAGTTTTAAGTTATCATAATGCTTGTTCTGAAACTGAACTTGAAAAGATTGAGAAGATGGGAATTCCAGCTACACTTACAAAGCTCGCTGATTATTCTTTCAGTCCTTTCGATGTCGATGAATATCAAAAAGTTACTCATGTGATTTTCATGTTCAAAGACATGTTCAGCTTTAATCGTTTCGACCAGAAGAGTTTAATTCGTTTTGTGCTAACAGTGAAGAAAAATTATCGTCGCGTTCCTTATCATAACTGGTCTCATGGCTTTTCGGTGTCCAATTCAATGTATGCCATCATCAAAAATTCAAAAACTGTTTTTCGACCAAACGAGGTGAGTAGATAATTACCGGCTTTGCCAAGATAACAGTTTTCCCGTCTATTGCATAATCAAGATCACAAATGGCATTTTACTTAATCACGCAACAATGCCAAACCCACAGCAAATTTCTCTTCTTAATATCTTTTGTATTAAACATATATTCATTATTTTACTGACATTTAATTTGAAAAGATATTTTAATCGATTCTCTGAATATTCAAAGCTTATTTAAATACTCATTTTAATTAAAATTCTGAAAAAATTCATACATAGATATTAATTTATGTCTTAATTTAATTTCCCCAGTGCTTAGCGTTGTTTATCGGCTCTCTCTGTCATGATCTCGATCATCGTGGAAAAAGCAACAAATTTATGTTAGATTCCGCGTCACCAATTGCTGCAATTTATTCAACTAGCACAATGGAACATCATCACTTTAACCAGACAGTTACAATTTTACAACAGGAAGGTCACAATATTTTAGGAAAATTGAGTTCAACAGAGTACAAACAAATTCTCAGTCTCATTAAAGTAAATTTCTAATTTCTGATATTGAAAATTTATAATTAAATTATTTTTTTTACAGCATTGCATTTTGGCGACAGATCTTGCTTTGTTCTTTCCTAACAAAGCCAAACTTTGTAATTTGGTTGATGAAGAAAAGTTTTCATGGAGTATTCTGGAGCATCGTTTGATGGTAAATGCAATGGCAATGACAGCTGCTGATTTGTCAGCATCAGCTAAGCCTTGGGAAGTGCAAGCTGAGACTGTGAAAGGAATTTTTGAAGAATTTTATGATCAAGGAGATGCCGAAAGGGAAGCTGGAAGAGTACCAATGCCAATGATGGATCGTAATCAGCCTGATCAACAAGCATCATCACAACTTGGCTTTCTCAATGGAATTTGCATTCCATGCTATTCACTGCTTAATCGATTAATACCCGAAACAAAGCCCATGTTGAAACAATGTCAAGAGAATCTCATTCGATGGCAAGGAATCGAAAATGACATGAAGAAAAAGAAAGAATCTACTGAATAGTAACAAACGATTTTTGCTTTGATTCCACACACCAAACGTGCTGATATGTTGACAAAGCTTTTTTTCTCAAACTTGCTTATCACTGCAGTGATATTCACGATAAAAATGAAATATTTGATATGATAACGGAAAAGATAAATGAATGTATTAAAATGAATGCTTTAGATGTTTAATGTACGCATAAATTAAAAATGAAAATCTCTGAAAGGAAAGGCGAAATAAAATTGAAAATAAATGTGCAAAAATATTTCTCGTGAAAAATTTGTTTTGACTTTTTATTCGCTTTGATATCTTATGCAACCATCGAAACCATAGCACAAAAAAAACTTAAGATATTGAAGACATTTGTAGCCTGTTTTGTATAGAATTTCTAATTTTGTTTTTCGAGTTTTTTTGCACGTTCAGACATTATCCAGAAGTACAATGAAGGCCAAATAAATCTGATGTAGAAAGCAAGGCGCGGAGCTATTGGAGCCATAATGACATCTTTTTGATCACTAAGCACTGCCTGAAGAATTTTCTTTGACATTTGGAAACGATCTGCACCTCCTGCAGTTGCCGCATCCATTTCTCCGTAAGCAGTTCCTGATCCTGTTAAAGCATTAAGTGACAACGATGTATTGATATAGCCAGGGCTGATAAGAGTAACTTTAACATTGTTCTTAGACATCTCAGCACGAAGTGAATCACAAAATGCTTGCAATGCATGTTTCGATGCAGCATAAGCTGAGCGTTGGGGAATAGCAAACTTTCCCTGGACACTTCCAATGCAAATAATTCTTCCTTCATTTCGTTTAATCATTGATGGAAGAACTGCTTTAGTTAGAGCAACAGTCCCGAAATAATTCACTAGCATAATTTTTATATCAACATCGGTTTTTGTATTGATAGCCTCTGATCTGACACTAATCCCACCGTTATTCACAAGGATATCGATTTGACCGAAAATGTCCAGAACTTGTTTTACCTTCTCAGGAAGGGAATTTAAGTCAGTAAGATCAAGAGGAAGCACTATCGGTGGGGGTGTTGTGTGAGTCTAAAACGACATGTCTGATTAATATTACAGCCGATTAATTATTTTAATAAACATATTAAAACTCACGGAATGTAATTGAAGTAAATCCTTTCGAACTCGCTCTAATTCTTCTTGTCGTCGCGCAGCAAGAACAACTTTACAGCCAGCTACGTAAAACGTATGAGCTAATGCTTCGCCAAGGCCACTTGAAGCCCCTGTTATCAAAACGACCTTTCCAGGTAAGCAGTTTTTTAATCTCTTCGTAATGAAAAAAGCATAAATTAAACTGCCAACAGAAAACGGTATTGCAATAACTTTTAAAATCCATTGCAGCAGTCCATCTTTTTTTTGAATTGCAATTTCTTTTTCTTCAACCATTTTAAGATATATCGCTTGCTAATATTATTATAAAATAGTTAAAGAATTCGTTTGATGAAAATAAACAAGTTTAGCATGCTCAAGAATTTCGTTAGCATGCTAAATAAAATTGCTAATTAAAACCAAGACACACTTTAGCACGTTTCTTTAAGTATTTGAATATTTTATTTCCGTTTAAATAATAAATTATATTATACATACCTAGATATAATAAAATAGCTTCTTGTAGGTAAAGTTTTAACTTAAAATCGGTAAGAAAAAGGAAAACTTTGTTTTAATTTTTCTGATTACAAATGAAATCTTCTGAAGTTTGAGATTTTTTGCATAATGGTAAACAACAAAGAATAAATACATCAAATTGAAAAACTGGATTAAGTTCGATCAAGTATTCATATTTTTATTTGTAAATAAATTTCAAAGTTAATGAAAGTGTACAAGAAAAACTTTTAAAAATATATCGAATAGGATGAAAATTAATATTTTAGAATCCAGCATTCAAAACAATTAAATTCTTCAAATTTTTTCTTGTTTTAAGCTAGAATTATGGTGTTGGAGGATCCTTAATTTCATCAGGAATAGGAATATTATAAACATTATCCAGAAACCATTTGAATGGCTTGCAATTATTCTTTTTCTTTAATTCTAGTCTTGCTGTGATATTTCCGAAATCTGGAGTAGTTTTTGTGGCACGATAATAATATCTCTTGTAGTCATCAAGCCATATTTCAGCCATACGCCCAGTGTTCCATCTATAACTTTTACCATATGTCTGCAAATTAATTCGTGTTTGCATTGAAATTCTTTATCAAGATATCAGAATAAACACAATAATGATAAAAATTAAGCTATTTACTGAATTAATTAAAGGTTTCAGAGAATATGAGCTTAATTTTCTTCTATTTATTCAGTTGAATCGCGTGCCTTGTGTTTAAATATGTTTGAAATGAAGTTACAAATGAATGATGATAGCTCATAATCTATTAAAACATATTCAAACTTTCTAAGAAAAATTGCTTTGAACTTGCCTAATTTGGAAAATAAAATAACCAAATGATTAACAAATTCTAAATTACCTTATACGTATGTGATTTGTAAATGTGTGCTATCCATGAGCAAGGAACTTGTTCAACTTCTCCCCCACAAAGCCAAACTTTCAAACCCAATCTGTCGATTTCGAAACGCCATAAATAATTGAAGCTAACATTACATAAATAAACCTACTCGACATCTTCTCCACCCCACATGCCATATTCGGGATCATTCAAACCGAGTTCCATAAAAAAATCCTTTGCAATGGCATGACCAGCTCCAGGAGTTGATACAGTTTTAATTGGATCAAAATCTGGTCTCGGAACATATCCTTGAACATCTTTGTGGTTTATCCTTAAAATAATATTACTAAAAATGTTTCATCGACATTGAAGCTTATATATTCGTTTAGAATTACCAATTCATATCTAATCTCCAATTCATAGCAGTAATTGAACTTGCAGCATTCGAACCAAAACCAGGTTTGAAGGTTTCTTTATTTATGTTTGTAAGTTTTGTGCACACAAGTCTTTTCTTATTGTCAACAAATCGATCTAGTAGGGGTTCAAGCCATCCAGGACCTACTTCAACATGACTGTCAAGCTGAAGGTTTAAAATCAAGATAATCGCTTCAAGATATATTTATAGAGTACAATGAACTTTTAATTGTAATACTCACACTAACAAGAATAGGACCAATGGCATTTAATGAACCCAGATTACGAGCACCAATTATACCTATACGAACGAAAGATCTGATGATTCTTACTTTTGGAATCTTCTTAATATATTCGTCTAAACGTTTATGTAGCCAATCTGTATTAAATAAAAATGAATTTTTGATATTATTCAGCTGCGACATTTCATAGGTTTCAACCTTTATCTGAAGCGTCATCAATAATAAGAATTTCTTCGATTAGTTCTGGAGGTGATCGAAGCAAAACTGAGTGAATGGTTCGCATAAATAACATCCAATCTTCATTATGCACTACTATTATGATCGAACACCTTAATAGAAAATTAATTAAAAGTTTCATCTGTCATCAATATCAAAATTTCATTTAGAAAACTTACTTGGGAAGGTTTTTGTTATNAATAAAAAAGAATAAAATATAAAGACTGGAGAAATATTACAGATAAATGATGTCTCTTTTTATTAAAGTTTTGAAGTTTTGCTTGTTAATACAATAAAAGAAAGAACACATTACCAAAATGTGTTTCATTAATTCGTTGGATAAAAACAGCTTGAATTGCCAATATCTGAAATAATAAAACACACACAATCCATATTCTTAAGAAAATATATAATGAATTAAAACTATTTCAGACAGTGTTCTGATATATGAAATAAAAATTAGCTTTTATGTAGATGTTGGAGGGTCCTTAATCTCATCAGGAATAGGAATATTATAAACATTATCCAAAAACCATTTGAATGGCTTGCAATTATTTTTTTTCTTTAATTCTAGTCTTGCTGTGATATTTCCGAAATCTGGAGTAGTTTTTGTGGCACGATAATAATATCTCTTGTAGTCATCAAGCCATATTTCAGCCATACGCCCAGTGTTCCATCTATAACTTTTACCATATGTCTTAAATACAGAAAACATAAAAAATAACATATTAAAAAGTTATGAAAAATATGTAAGTCTCTTTCACCTTATACGTATGTGATTTGTACATATGAGCTATCCATGAACAAGGAATTTGTTCAACTTCCCCCCCACAAAGCCAAACTTTCAAACCCAATCTGTCGATTTCAAAACACCATTAATAATACAAGCTAGCATTACATAAATAAACCTACTCGACATCTTCCCCACCCCACATGCCATATTCGGGATCATTCAAACCGAGATCCATGAAAAAATCCTTTGCAATGGCATGACCAGCTCCAGGGGTTGATACACTTTTAATTGGATCAAAATCTGGTCTCGGAACATATCCTTGAACATCTTTATGGTTAATCCTTCGAATAATATTCATTAATATTGAGGCTTATGTATTCGGTAAAAATTACCAATTCATATCTAATCTCCAATTCATAGCATTAATTGAATTTGCAGCACTTGAACCAAAACCAGGTTTGAAGGTTTCTTTATTGATGCCTGTAAGTTTTGTGCACACAAGCCTTTTTTTATTGTCAACAAATCGATCTAGTAGGGGCTCAAGCCATCCAGGACCAACTTCAACATGACTGTCAAGCTGAAGTTTTAACATCAATAAAAAACAAGAAGATGTTTATGGAGTACAATAAAATTTTAATTCAAATACTCACACTAACAAGAATAGGACCAATGGCATTTAATGAACCCAGATTACGAGCACCAATTATACCTATACGGACGAAAGATCTGATGATTCTTACTTTTGGAAGCTTCTTAATATATTCGTCTAAGCGCTTATGTAGCCATTCTATATTAAGTAAAAATGCATTGTTAATATTATTCAGCTGCGACATTTCATAGGTTTCAACCTTTATCTGAAGCGTCATCAATAATAAGAATTTCTTCGATTAGTTCTGGAGGTGATCGAAGCAAAACTGAGTGAATGGTTCGCATAAATAACATCCAATCTTCATTATGCACTACTATTATGATCGAACACCTTAATAGAAAATTAATTAAAAGTTTCATCTGTCATCAATATCAGAATTTCATTTAGAAAACTTACTTGGGAAGGTTTTTGTTATAAACTTTATTTTTACAAATGTCACTTCTAACATCGGTAACGTTTCTATTAAGACTGATCATATTCGAAAGAAACTCGTTGAATCCGGATTCTTCTATGCTTTGGTTCATAAGTTTTCTTATTTCCAGAGAAGTATTTTGAGGTAGAATAATTGGTTCACTATTACCTCCAGGGTTTACCAAACCTAATTCTTTCATATATCTTCTTGCTTCATCTGTGATACCATCTTCAAGGTCATAGTAGTTTCTCTGTTCCAATGGTTCTTGTTTAATCAGAGATAAATTGTTTGTATATTTGAGTGCTCTACTCAGGTGATAATTTGTATCAACGTCAAATGCCATCTTTACAATTAACATTATAAGACATAAACTTAAAAGCAAGGACCGAATAAATTTACACGAAGTACCTCGCTTAAACACCTTTGCTAATAGTTTGTTAAAAATATTTAATATACCCTTAAATGAAAAAAGAATTT